TGCGAGATAACGCAATTGTTAAGGATGTAGCCGCTATGAAAGCGGCTACATCCCAGTAAGCTGCCCACTCCCAATCACTTCCCACTACCACTCACTTCCCACTACTCCTCACTTCTCACTACCACTCACTTCCCACTACCTATCACTTTTCACTACCACTCACTTCCCTCAGCCCCTCACTTCCCACTACCCCTCACTTCCCACTACCACTAATTTACCACTACCTCTCACTTCCCACTACCCCTCATTTCCCACTACTCCCCACTTCCCACTACCCTTCACTTCCCACAAACACACATTTACCAATTCCCCTCACTTCCCAATACCACTCACTTTCCACTACCATTCACTTCCCACTACCACTCACTTCCCACTACCACTCACTTCCCACTACCACTCACTTCCCACTACCACCCACTTCCCACTACCACTCACTTCCCACTACCATTCACTTCCCACTACCCTTCACTTCCCACTATCACTCACTTCCCACTACCACTCACTTCCCACTACCACTCACTTCCCACTACCACTCACTTCCCACTACCACCCACTTCTCACTACCACTCACTTCCCACTACCAATTACTTCCCACTACCCCTCACTTCCCACTACCCCTCACTTCCCACTACCACTCACTTCCCACTACCACCCACTTCCCACTACCCCTCACTTCCCACTACCCCTCACTTCCCACAATCCCTCACTTCCCACTACCAGTCACTTCCCACTACCACTCACTTCCCATTGCCACTCACTTCCCACTTCCCTTCACTTCCCACAACCCCTCACTTCCCACTACCAGTCACTTCCCACTACCACTCACTTCCCACTACCACTCACTTCCCACAACCCCTCACTTCCCACTACCATTCACTTCCCACTACCACTCACTTCCCACTACCCCTCACTTCCCACTACCAGTCACTTCCCACTACCAGTCACTTCCCACTACCACTCACTTCCCACTACCACTCACTTCCCACAACCCCTCACTTCCCACTACCAGTCACTTCCCACTACCACTCATTTCCCACTACCACTCACTTCCCACTACCACTCACTTCCCACTACCTCTCACTTCCCACTACCAGTCACTTCCCACTACCACTCACTTCCCACTACCACTCACTTCCCACAACCCCTCACTTCCCACTACCAGTCACTTCCACTACCACTCACTTCCCACTACCACTCACTTCCCACAACCCCTCACTTCCCACTACCAGTCACTTCCCACTACCACTCACTTACCACTACACCTCACTTCCCACTACCAGTCACTTCCCACTACCACTCACTTACCACTACACCTCACTTCCCACTACCCCTTTCTTTCCTCTTTTCCTCATTTCCCACTACCCCGTGGCCACTTCCCACTACCACTCACTTCCCACTACCACTCACTTCTCACTACCACTCACTTACCACTACCACTCACTTACCACTACCACTCACTTCCAATACCCCTCACTTCCCACTACTACCCACTTCCCACTACCACTCACTTCCCACTACCCCTCACTTCCCACTACCACTCACTTACTACAACCTCTCACTTACCACTACTCCTCACTTCCCACTTCCTGGTAGTGAGAAGGAGGAGCCAGCACTTCCCACTACCACTCACTTCCCACTACCCCTCACTTCCCACTACCACTCACTTACTACAACCTCTCACTTACCACTACTCCTCACTTCCCACTTCCTGGTAGTGAGAAGGAGGAGCCAGCACTTCCCACTACCACTCACTTACCACTACCCCTCACTTACCACTATTCCTCACTTACCACTACCCCTCTCTTCTTACTACCTCTCACTTCGTTCCTGATGTAGTGCTGGTCCGTCATCTTCACTGATCAGTTATTGTCATTCTCAGTGAGATCGGTTCACATGTCCAAGTTATTAATGCGGGTTCTCACATCTCACAATCATAAATCACATGCTGAATCTTGTCCTTTAGGCTTTCGCAAGGAGCTGCCTTACTCTAACAAGGATTCCGTTACTCCTGAAATTAAGTCAGTTCTGTCTCGTTGTCACTCCATGGAGGAGGGTTCCAAAAGTATTTACTATGAGATGCTCTGTCATCTCCAAGTACATTAAAGTTTTTGTTAAGAAAATGTTATCAAATCTTGGGTGCTGGGTTGGTCTCTGATGCTTGACTAAATGCGGTTGTTCTTCCTATTAACTAACCATGCTTGAAGCACACTTTACCTAGGGACTTTGGCCCTGTGTTTGTGACTATTTGCAAGCTTTTTGAACGAATTATTAATGTGCAGCTTACATGACTGTTTGTACATAATCGTTGTCTCTCCTCCTAATGTGGTTCTTACATGGAATTCAACACGAGTGATATCCTCTACTGAATTTGAAAGACTGCATTTGAAATGTTCTTTCTGCAGTTAATTTGGTTGCGTCTTTGTTTTTTAACATAGAGCAAGAATAGTTTACCTCCTGGAGATATGTTAGCCGAATGGCTTTCTTTTTGCCTGCAAAGCTACTTGTTGCTCTTCCCTCACAGCTTTCCCTCTGTCCGTACATTTATTGTATGTCTTGGGACTGCTTCATTTTCCACTGATTGCTAATATGAAGGGATGCCGCAGAGAAGTGTTTCTAGCACTGTTATATAGTGTTACTGGTTGTCCCGAACCTCGCCATTTGCCTTTGCAGTAGCGATTTTTTCGGCTTCTGTGCCGGCTTGAGCATGTGATGGATTAAGTGACGTTCAAGGTTACCAGGCACGGAGGTAAGGTCTTCAATAAGAAAACGTGGGCAGTGAGTTTTAATAGAAAGCAAGTTATCCATCGACAGTCCTTGATTGTGGAATGCAGCTTTTATTATATGAAACGAAACGCAAAATTTTTGGGGGTTGATCGTTGGCGCCTGCCCATACTGGTCGTCCTAAGTCCAAAACCTAAACAATTAATTCCCCAAGACCATTAACGTACATAATGACATCGCATTCCGCTTGAGGGGTGCGTAGATAACTCCCCTCCATTTGCCTTCGACCTTTTTCTCGCTTGACGCTTTGCAGTATACAGGCAACGCTTCAGCTCGTGGGGCATTCGCTTTTCTTTAACCACAGTCTTAAATGAAGAAACGTATTCCGTCGTTACAAGACAGCTGCTCTCGGTGGTGCCTTCAATACTTGATGCTGACCCCGCAAAGCCCCAATTAACGCTGGTACTACACTTTAACATCTGCCACCATTGAATGCTTTGCTCATTCTCCTTTATGGTCTGATACTGTAAGGATTTCCCTCTTGCAGACTTCTTACCCTCGTGGAGAGTCCCACTTGTTCAGTTCTATAAGATCTTCAATTGTATTGCAATGGCTTATATACATTCCATTGTCTTCAATCGCCTTTGCCTTGAATATTTACACACTATTCGTGTGCTTCTCTTTTGTTTAAACTGGCCGAAATATACTGATGGCGTTTGCTTCTCCATTACTTTTTCCTGATAAAAACTTTTGCATTACCTACCCGAAGCTTACTGCCGATCTCTGTGATTTTGTAAGCTCTGACTAAGATACTTTTCGTGTGCCAGCAATCGTTTGTTCTTGTAGCTGATTCGTGCAGTACTTTCACGGCACTGGAGATTTTTAAAGCCTTCACATTCTGTAGTGATCATGATCCAACATGGGTTGTACCTTATTCAGCATATTTAAAGCAGTCCAGATTGGGGAGGTTTCTAGCCATGTTGGTGTCCTCCAGTGACCTCGCAGACTCATCTCCCATATGCGTGTTTCTTACTCGAATTTCTATCCTGTAATTTAAGACGCGATATGTATACGTTGTACTAATAGTTAGCTATTACGAATAACAAATTACATACTATCAAGTGTCAATTATTCATTAGGTCTTTCTCCTTTTGTTCCAAACAGGAACTGCATGAATTTAATTGTTCCAATAATGATCGTACAGTTTCTCATAAAATGTTCTGATTTCATGATCGTCTATTTTTACTTACCGACTCTTCCTTTGTGAGCATTGTTCCCTCTTAAAAAATCCTCGGTAAATTTTACTCCTTTGACATAACTTGCCTTATGCCTTTTTTACGCATGCTCTGGTATCTTGAAACTCTGAATAATCCTTAACAAAGATATAGCATTAAGAATTACTATATCGAAATGCTATATGGCTTTCCTATAGTGCTAAAAGGCTTCCCTGGCTTATCGATTTTTTCAAAAGATTACTTGGATTGTGAATCAACGAAAACAACTCCTTCGGTGCCGATCATCTCTACTGAACCACATCATGTATCTGAACTTTAAGTATCCTTTTCATTGGATATTGCAGGAGAAATATAAATTGTTCAAATATTTTTTGGATTTAAAATATTGCACTTATTTTACAGTACAATCTTTCTTGTGATTTTTTTCATCTAGCCTTCATTATTAGATACATATTTTACAGCCTATGATTTATAAACACATCCTTCTCTCGGGTGTTCATTATCCGCACTTTGTTCCTTGGGTTAAATAGGTAAACTGAATATTTATCCTATTACTGTAAACACAATGACTTTAATGAATAATAACGTCTTATCTGTTAATCATGGCTTCCTTTGTAAGTAACATGCAGTATTTTGTTGCTAATTTTGTCTTACTTTGATTTATTTTTAGTAGTACATTTTCCCCAATCTTCAACTTTTTCTCATTTTATCAATCACCTCTGATCTATATATTATTTAACATATTATGGGTATCAGTACGTGATTGGCTTTGTTCTCTGTGTTCCTGGATTGCTTACACCTATTTCTTCATTGATTGGGATTAATTTGAAAATTCTGTTGGCTAGAGAGACTTCATGAAAAAATTTGTATTTTGCCCAAACTCTCCCCTTTCATAATGAGTTAAAAACAATTACTTTAGTTCAAATTTTGTATAATTTATTTCTCACATTCGTGTGTAAGAGAGCACGATTGTAAGTGTGAGTATATATGTGGCCAAATATAAGTTAACTCACTGACATGTAACATGTTTGATGTCCATGGCAGGTGGCGACAGGTGTTGGGAGCAGGTGGCGACAGGTGTTGGGAGCAGGTGGCGACAGGTGTTGGGAGCAGGTGGCGACAGGTGTTGGGAGCAGGTGGCGACAGGTGTTGGGAGCAGGTGGCTACAGGTATTGGGAGCAGACGTTGCCTCCATTATGGGACTCATCCGGCCAGGTGCCTCCCTTCCAGGTGGGTAATATTTATTTGCATCCTGCTCCTCTGTTCTGACACTCAAGAAAAGTGTCACTGGGTTGTGTTTCAATGTATACTACGTGTTACGTAAAATATTCAGGGTCACGTTACTCACAGTCCAAGTAATGCGAGTATTATATACATGCTGCAGTGTGTAGCACGGGTTCTTAGTTGGACGTTGCATGCCTGTGTTGTATGGTCAGCTTCTTGTATCATGGTTTTGTCGCTGCAAATAAATGGAAGATGGCTAATTCCTTTAAAAATGTCAGAGATTTCCAGATTGACTGATGTTCACTTTATTACAATATATATTTATTTAGAAGAAAATATTATTTGTCTAAAATAATACCATACCAAAATATTCATATTATCAAAATGTTTATATCTTCAAGATGTCCCTTGCAACTCTAAGAATTTGAGAACCATATCACCTCACGGATTAATTTAACCTAAGTAACAAAACTTTACAAGACAATGGTATTAAATATATTATCCCGTGATTTTTTTTTTATAATGTTTTCATTGACAGATATGGCAAAATATCTATGAAAATGAATTACTCAGCACAAATACGATTTTTAGACAGTTTGAATCCCATATTATACTTGTTCATTTGAAGCAATCATTTCATTATTGAATATCTACATTCACAAAATATATGCACTTGGCACCTTCTCAAATAAAGATAATAATCGTAGAATCTTGCATAATGAAATACAATTGAAATATGATTTTAAATTGTAGGTGGTACAAAACAAACACGATATATAATATTGTTCCTGAATAAAACAGATTAAAAGATAATAAATTATGCAAATATTTTAATGTCAGATTTCTTCCTAGATTATTTTCCTTCCCAAATCGTCATTAAATGACGTCATGTTGCCTAAACTTTATACATAATGTCTTCCTACTGCAGTGTCCCACAGACAAATGCCTATGTACACAGCTGCGCACACCAGTGTCCATGTACACAGCCGCGCACACCAGTGTCCATGTACACAGCCGCGCACACCAGTGTCCATGTACACAGCTGCGCACACCAGTGTCCATGTACACAGCTGCGCACACCAGTGTCCATGTACACAGCTGCGCACACCAGTTTCCATGTACACAGCTGCGCACACCAGTGTCCATGTACACAGCTGCGCACACCAGTGTCCTTGTACACAGCTGCGCACACCAGTGTCCATGTACACAGCTGCGCACACCAATGTCCATGTACACAGCTGCACACACCAGTGTCCATGTACACAGCTGCGCACACCAGTGTCCAGTATTATAGACTGTGGGTTGGTTGGTGTTGTCGTTGATTCTTCTCTATGGACAACCCAACCCACACAACTCGGTAGAGTGCTTATACTAGGAGATCACCCTTGGCGCTTCTGGCTCTTGGAGAGGGGCTCAACGTCACACGTTTATGGGATGCGGCTCCAACACTTAGCCTCGTTGTCACGTGCACACACCCACTCGAGCCGCAGTGACTCCCCACTCTCTCCTCAGGTAATATGATCTCCTCGATCCCCTTTTGGCTTATTAGTATTACCTCCTACCCTGTCCACAGCAGTGGTTCTTGGTTCTTTCTCTCTTTCTCTCTCCTTCTTTACTACCTCCTGGGAAGCCTCACTAGGACAAGGGCAAACACCAGCAAATTGTGATACATTTACTGGACAAAGCACATACACAATACATACACACATATAATAATAATGAATCCTATACTCTATAATATTACAATCAGGTTGCACTCCAACACCATCAGAACTCTATCATCAGCTTATCAAGTGGTATCCTATCTCCTGGTTCACCACCTGATACTATCAACCCCCTCAAGTTGATCAAGTCTACATACACTGTTGCACCATCAGCAAGAGAATATATATATGTATCTATAAATGTGTACCAAGAAAATCAGCATTTGAATGCAATAACATATCAGTATAAATGTTCATTGATACACAACAATGATCAATCGATCACTCTATCAGTCCTAGAACGCATACGTCTGTAGGTAATCCAGCCTACGACTGTAACTAAACTTCAGTGTAAAACACTCCTTGACATCAGAATACCAACAATCACTCACCTCTCACTGCGTCTTGCACGCTACTGACAACCAAACACTATCAACTCCCTATAAGTAATCCACCAGAACTTCCCCCTTCTACCTCTGGAAGTTCACTACCCTGATATCTTCAGGTTCTTCCGGGCTTCACTACCAGGATCCTCTGCAGCTCCTCCAGGCTGCTATCATGAAGTTTCCTTGTGCAACTACGGTGCTTCACCCTTCTGTTAGGTTCATCCACAGCTCTCTTGGCTGCTACACCACCTCTACAGAAGCACATGACACTCCTCTTCACTGCTGCTTCTCTTCACAGCTCGAGGTCCTCTGCTCCACTACCTTGGAGTCTCATCAGCTACTTCATCTGCTGGCTTCGAAGTTCTCAGCAACTTCTTCCCCAAAGACAAACCACAGATTAACTGATCGAGGGCGCTTTCCCTCTGACGGCGTCTGGTCAGGGCGCTCCACACAGCCCACGAAAATGCCTCTGAGCAGCTTATTAAACTCTCCTCGCCGTCCAAGACTTGAACAACGTTCTCAGCTCAATTCCACAGCTGGCACGTCTGCACACTTCTCTTCTCTTAGAGATATATCACTAGGTGTTCCCTTCTGACGGGAGCTCAAACGGAGCGCGGCTTCCCCCTGTGATGTCTGGCACTCAAGTGAGGTCAAGGTCCTCCGGAAGCGAGCCTCACGCCTCCAGCAAAACGTCCACATCTCCTCGCCAGTCATTTATCTGTTTTCTTCTTCATTGCCCATAATCTCAAACTGTTATACATATCCAAGCAACCATTTTACATATGGGTTATTACCTCAATATTTACTAGACCTTCTAATCAGGTCAGGCTTGCTGAATAACTCTCAAGGAGGGAGACTCGTTTCTCCTGCAGGCTGAGATCATAACACTCCCCTCCCCTTATTTTTGAGAGTTATTCCAGTGGCAAAGCTCGGGATAATACATCCGCCACCACACTGTCTCGTTCTTCACCCCATATACTCTCTTAGGAGTCTACAATTAATTCGTTGCACCTTGCAACATCTGGCACACCACGTGCCAGAAACATGATCTTCTCACAAATGATTTGACCTCTTTGACACCTCAAAGCTAGGCTGTCCTCCTTGGACGCCTGCACTCCATCGGTCCACTCTACTTACTGTCTCCACCCTCCGTTTCCTCGTCTTCTTCTCTTCACGTCCAGAGTCAGACATCTACTGTCTGTACCTCCTCTGTCGTCTTCACACTTCCATCTACTGCCATTATACTTTCGTCTCCTGTCATCATACTTCACTTCCTCGTCTTCACCGACGATCCTCCATTTCGTCTCCTCATTTATCCAAGACATCGTCCTGTTTGACTTCCATCGAGTCCTCGGCTTTCTTCTATTCCTCCATGCTTGTATCATCTTCCTCTTCCCACACTTTTCACCTCTATACAACTCCATTTCTTCTCCTTCAACTCTTCTTCGTTCCCTAAAAGTTTCTCCGAGCACTGTACTATACTCAACAGCACTCGACCGTACATGTCGCTTTGCCTCTCCCAAAGTGCTCGTAAGCATCTCTCCACACATACTGTCTCTTCTCCTTTCATTTTCTCGGCTATTACTCTTCACCATCTCTCCTCCACGTTTTCTGTGAAACATGTCAACTCTTGACATCTCCCGCAACTTAACTCCATTATCCATATGCCTCTGTGCTCGTGGACCACTTGATGCTCTACTCTCGTCTTCAGTCTGTCCACATCTTTCCTCATTCCTACTCAGCACAGTTGCGTTCACCTTCCGACCCTTAATTTCAGCAGTCTGGGCTCTACTCAGGTCCGCTCTCTTCACATGAGTCTTCTTCGGCTGGGCCGTCTTCACTTTTGACCTCACCGAGACTTCATTTTTCTGGGCTGGACTTTCATCAAACAGCCATGCTATATCTACATCGATATCTTCCACCGGTTGAATCGACACTGTATCATCTTCTCCAGCGTCTTCCTTGTCGGCCACCTCTGTCTTCGTCACTACCGAGACAGGGTACTCAATGGCTTGGCGGTCTCCTGACTCATCCCCTCGGATGTCAGTCAGGTTCATACTCTCAGGTGTCCCACCCATGCCGTGGCCTTCTGGGCACTCCTCTGGCACAGTCTCCGCTATGACTCTTGGCAACACCTTTGTCCCGCACAAGTCATTCCCCAGGATCACTTGGACTCCTGGAATAGGTATGTCGGGGCACACTCCCAACATCACCTCTGCTGACACATATTTTGACCTTAGCTGGACAGTACAAATGGGCATGTCACTTTCAGACAACAACCCATATACCTTCATCTTACTCCTGCCAGCTAACCGTCGATCATTTCCAATCAGGCTTCTCGCAATCAAGCTCTGATTAGCTCCGGTATCTCTTAAGATACCAACTTCTACTTCAGGTTGGCCTCCTATACTGATCCAACCTTTGCTCATGAACGGCCTATACCTCTCGTTCACTAAGTTCACCTTCTGTGGTTTGTCTTGGAACACATTAGCATATCTACTTCGGGGGTCATACATGGCCAGGGTCACAACTCTCTTGCCCTGTCTACAATCTCGCATCACGTGACCCAATCCGTTACAATTGTAACACCTCACCTGGGAAAAATCTCTTCTATATGTACCAGAGTAGCTCTGACTCTGCCCACTCGTATTGGAGTTCCTCGGGCCAGACGTACTACTCGTACTCTGTGGAGCTTTACTGGACTCTTGATTCCCTGGATAACGATTAGTTTCTCGTTTAGCTCCTCCATCTTCACTTTCAGATGAAGTGCGCGACCTACTCTTTTGAGTTTTAGGGTACTTACTTTTATCTGCCCATTTATCAAAATTTTTCTCACCCCAGACTCCTCTGGGTCTTTCATAATTTCTTCCTCCCCAGACTCCACTGGATCTGCCATTGCTGCATCTCGCCTCGCTTC